TTCCTGCCTGAGCAGGGGGTTGGACTAGATGACCTCCAAGATACCTTCCAATATCATCATCATCATTATTAAAGAAGAAGAAAAGATGGCAAGTCCAACTAAGAGCATCCACACCCCAAGTATAACCGATAAAGGTCTCAACCATCCTAATTGGAAACCTGGGGGAACATCCAGATCTTCTGATCTTTTCACAACACTGTTTGGATGTTCCATGTGGCTATCAGGGAGTCCCATCTCTTCTACCTCTTACTTTCTTTTTGTAGCCAGAAGAACTGAAAGCTGTTTCCTCCTGCAGAAGATTGGGATGGCAGCAGCAAACTGCCACATGCCACCCAGGAATTCTTATGCCAGTGTCTGAGTGGCATTTTAATAATAATAATAAAAAAAAGATTTGAGCTCATTGTTGCTCATGCACTGCTGGATCTCTGTCTCTTTTTCTAGGTGGCATCTCCTTGCCAGTGTCCCACACAGAGTCCCCCCTGCCCTCTTGGAAACAGCCTTTCACTAGATGGCTGTGGTTGCTGCAAAGTATGTTCCCTGCAGCTTGGGGAGCTGTGCTTGCTGCAGGAACCTTGTGATCACCACAAAGGGCTCTACTGTGACTTTTCCAAAACCCAGAAAGACAGAGGCATCTGCTTAGGTGAGTAGTTTGCCCCTGTTCTTCTCCTTTTAAAAGAGCATAATTTGCACGTCATGGATAGTGATTGTTCCACCCCATTTCTGTGCTGGTCCCCCAACTGCCCCCTTTCTGGGGACCAATTTGGAATAGCAATGAAGAAAGGCGATGATTGAAGATGTAGCCTTTCCCCCAAGCATTGGGCTAGGATAGGGTTGAATCAGGGCTCAATAGTATGGCTGGTCTGGCGCCTAGTGGGAAGGGTTTTGTTTTATCTTGCTGTTTTTATTTGTTGTGTTAGATGAGAGAGATGGGGGGGGGGGCAAGGCAGGCAGACTATGGCAAAGCAGGAGAGAGTGAAGGAATTGGCTGTGCCTAGCTTTGAAAAATGGGAATACAGTAGAAGGCGAAATATGATAGCATTTTTCAAGTCCCCGAAAGAATATTGCACAGAGGAAACTTCTTCTGGTATCATCCCAAGACAGAGGGCCGAATAATGTTCTTAATTTTCAGAAAGGCAGATTCTTTCTGAATATCAGAAACAGCTTCTTAACATCAGTTTAGTGGAGCCAATGGTGGAGGGGGTTGGTGGGTTCCTTTCGGTGATGTTTTTGCAGGTCAAGATTGGATGCTTTGATTTGGATTTCTGCAGAGAATTGGATCTGATGGTTTAAGTGACCCTCCCCAATGCTTTGAGGCAGGGGTAGGCAACCTTAGCTCTTTTATGACTGGTGGACTTTAACTCCCAGAATTCCTGAACCAGTATGGCTCAGCTTGGAAACCTCTCCCTTTCCCCTCAGCACGGCTGGCTCAGGAATTCTGGGAGTTGAAGCCCACGAGTCATAAAAGAGCCAAGGTTGCCAACCCCTGCTTTGAGGCTACAAAAAGCTTGTTCTTTGGTGGGCTTCAGTTATAAGAAGATAGATTTCATCTGCACTTTAAGGGCAAAAGCATTATCCAGTTACAGGTAGTCCTTGACCACCATTGAGCCCAAGATTTATGTTATTAAGTGAGTTTTGCCCCATTTTACAACATTTCTCATCACAGTTGTTAAGTGAATCACTGCAGTTGTTAACTTAAGTGAATCTGGCTTCCCTACTGACTTTGCTTGTCAGAAGGTCACAAAAGGTGATTACATGACCCTGGGAACCTGCAAACGTTATAATATGAACCAGTTGCCAAATATGTGAATTTTGATCATGTGATGCTGCAACAGTCATTTATGAAAAATGGTCATATGTTACTTTTTCTACTGCTGTTGCAATTTTGAATGGTCACTAAACTGAACTGTTGTAAATCAAGGACTACCTGTGCTGAGATGGATAATGGGCTGAAATAATTTTTTATGTTGTCTCTAGATATGAATGATCTATAACAGTATTTCCCAGCATGGACAATCTTAAGATATATAGACTTCAACTCCCAGAATTCTTAATGGTGTCTATGCTGCCTGGGGGATTCTGGGAGTTGAAGTCCAATAGCTCAAAATTACCCCAGTTGGGGAATACTGTTCAATACACTTCCCATTTCATTGGTTTTACAAAGCCATAATTCTATGTTCCAAGATTAACCTCTTTTAAAAGACTTTAGTGCGTATGCATTCTGTTCAGAGGGAAAAAAAACTCTAAATGAACCAAATCAAACCAAACTAAAGCAAGTATTCATTCATTTCCAATCAATGGGAATTTGAATGAATGGAAATGCATCTATTTTTGTTTTTATTGCTCTGCAGTGGGGGCATTATTTGGCATGGAAGAAGGAGAACTTTAGTTCATTCAAAGGTCATGAAGAGTAGCCAAAAAGAGAGAACATTAATAAAATTGTAAGTTTTATTTTGTTTAGATAAGTGGCAGTCTGTGTGTCCATTTTTTAGTACAGTATACTAAAAATGGCTACCCTTTGACATGGAATTTGGCAAGCTGGGGACTAATACACTAGAAATGTCATGCCATTTGACTGGAAAATAGCAAAAGTTACAGACATCAAAAGACTCACTGGATTGTAATTAAAATGAAAGCAGAGAAAAAGAAGGGAGGAAAAATGATTAAACTGTCTAAAACAAAGAACAATGTCCTGGTATTAATGATGGATTTGCTGACATTTGACTGCTTTTATAGAAAATACGGCTATATTTATAATAAAATATGCATAGCTTTCCATTCTGTTTAATGCTACCCATTGTAAGTGAGATGATTGCTTATGTGCACTATACACATTCTGTGTTAAACTCCTGCTTACACATACCTTTGTGTTCCTCCTCCAGCTCATGAAAGGTCCTCCTGTGTCCTGATGGGGAAAACCTATCTAAATGGAGAAAGCTTCCAGCCCAGTTGTCAGCTGCAGTGCATCTGCATAGATGGGTCCATTGGCTGCATTCCCCTTTGCACTGATGGGGCACGTCTCCCTCCCTTTGATTGTCCCTTCCACCACTAGGTAAAAGCACAGAACAAGTGTTGCAAAGAGTAGGTGTGTGAAGGAAGCAGTCAAAAGACCCCTTACAACAACGGTTCTCAACCTGTGGGTTGCGACCCTTTTGGGGGTCGAACGACGCTTTCACAGGGGTCGCCTAAGACCATCGGAAAACACATATTTCCCATGGTCTTAGGAACCGAGACACCGCTCTTCTATCCGGCTGCCGCCACCCTCCTCCGCCGGCTCTTCCGCCTCCAGGGTGTCCTTCTCCTCTGACAGCGCCTGCTCCTGCCACCGCAGCGCCATCCTGCGGCGGCCATGCTGACGCCCAGCTGCTGGCTGGGAGCCAGGCCGACTCCTGGCTGATTCCCAGGAGCCTGGCCGACAAGCGGAGGCTGGGCTGACTCCCAGCTGACGTGCGCACACCGGGCCGACTCTCAGCTGGCTGTCGGGAGCCGGCTGGTGTGTAGCGGCCCTGCCGGTTCCCCACTGACGTCCGAACGCCGACCTGACTCCCAGCTGACTGTCGGGAGTCGGGCGGTGCTCATGGGGGCCATGCGGACATCGGCCAGCTGCTGGCTGCGTCCTCCCCATCTTCCAGCTCATGGCAAGCCCAGGGCCTTGACACGTGCCCCCGATGCCGCCCCGGGCTGGCTCAGCTGTGTGAGCAGCCGGTCTGAGCCGAGCCTGGGCTGCTGCTGGCGCTGCCGCTGGGCTGCTCCGCCGCTGCCACCACTGCTGGCTGAGCTGAGCTGTGGTGCCGAGCCGGTCCCCACACCTCCTGGTTGCCCGGCCACGCTCCACCCACGGCCGTCCTCCACACTGCGCCAGAGCTTCCCCCGCACCGCCCGGCCCACCTCCCTCACCGTCGGAGGTCGCCTCGGACCTCTGGTGCCTGGCGCAGCCCTGGGACTGGCAGGTAGGAGCGACTCCTTCCCGGCTTGCCGGGCTCCGGGCCTCGGAAGCGGCCAGGTGGTGGGGAAGAGGGCGATGCCCACATGTGCATCGGAGGCCAGCTGGACAGGCTGGGAGGGGAGAAACGGCACCTTCCGAGCGGGAGCTGGCACTCCGGCCGCGCCCCTCTCACATGTGATGAGTTGGGGAAGGGTTGTGGCAGTGAAGGGCTGCGCAGCGTGGAAAGGGGCTCCCACGATCCTGCCGCTGCGATGGCACTCAGGAGGCTGGAGGGGCGGGCAGGTCACGGGGGGGTGGCTGGGAGAGGGCAAGAGGTGCCGGGATGAGGATGGGGGGCTCCAGACTACCATCCCCAGCAGCCCTAAAAAGCACTGGAAGAGTGGGGAATGGCAGGGAGCTGTAGTTCATCACCATCTGAGAAAACATGACTCTCCAAAGATCAATCCTTCCTTCCTTCCTTCCTTCCTTCCTTCCTTCCTTCCTTCCTTCCTTCCTTCCTTTCCCCTTCAATCTCCTTCCTTCTCCATCTCCTTCCTTTCCCATTCAATCTTCCTTCCTTCCTTCCTTCCTTCCTTCCTTCCACCTCCATCTCCATCCCTTCCCCTTCAATCTCTCTCCTTCCTTCCTTCCTTCCTTCCCCCTTCAATCTCCTTCCTTCTCCATCTCCTTCCTTTCCCCTTCAATCTTCCTTCCTTCCTTCCTTCCTTCCATCTCCATCTCCATCCCTTCGCCTTCAGTCTCTTTCTCCTTCCTTCCTTTCCCCTTCAATCTCCTTCCTTCTCCATCTCCTTCCTTTCCCCTTCAATCTTCCTTCCTTCCTTCCCCTTCCCTCCCTCCCAACATTTTTGAGGAAGGAAGAATAAGCTTCTCCAGCCAGCATTGCTATATTGTTTTTGTGATTAATCACTATGCTTTAATTATGTTCAATTCGTAACAATGAAAATACACCCTGCATATCAGATATTTACATTACGATTCAAAACAGTAGCAAAATTACAGTTATGAAGTAGCAACGAAAATAATTTTATGGTTGGGGGTCACCACAACATGAGGAACTGTATTAAAGGGTCGTAGCATTAGGAAGGTTGAGAACCACTGCCTTAAAACATGGGTGACAGATGAAAGCTTAGTGTGATGCGTGAATTAGTCCTGTTTTCAAACAAGAGCAGAACAGACAGAAGTAATTCAGGCACACACGCCCTCTAGTGATTTAAAGATGACATTTCTGTAAATTGGTGCCACCACTGCGAAAACCCTACCACATCTCTTGTACTTAATCTAATGAATTGGTATAATGAGAAGAGAGCCTCTGAGACTAATAATAGACATTAAAATGTGGAGTAGAACAACATTGTCTCCAGCAATCTTAATGACTTTTCAGAAAGAGATATTTCAGTATCTGTCTCTTGCTGGACAATCCTTTAAAATTCCTCTGTAAGTGACCAATTTCCCATATGTATAACTAATTTCTAATGCTGTCCCTCTTGCCCATAAAGTGGATTTCTTTTTAAATATACACCCCTCCAATATGGTGCATTATTGCAGGATAAGGTGAAGCCAGTGTGGCTTTAGTTCAATGAAAGTCAAGTCTTTAAATCAGTCTTCTTCAGCTTGGTGCCTTTCAGATGTTTTGGCTGCCACAGCCATTTTTGGCCAAGTGGATTAATGAGGTTAAGGCAAGCTATGTGAAAAAGAAATCACATCTCTTTTACTTTTAATTTTTAGAATTTGCTCATGGAAGTTCTTTTGCCCATCTCAGTTTACAGGAACAAACTTGCTGACAAGCATGAGTTAAAGCTTAAGTCCACACTGAATGACCTTCAGGTAAACTGCTTGGTGCAGACCACTGGATGGAGTGCCTGTTCTAAGACTTGTGGGATGGGCATCTCTGTCTGTGTTACCAATGACAACCCCCAGTGCGAATTGGAGAAGGAGAGCAGGCTGTGCTTGGTTCAAATCTGCAATGCCTCTCTGGACAGGAGCATCAAGGTACAGTGGAAATTGAGTGAAGTGGGTGCAAGTTTCAGATATCAACTTCTGCAAGGGTCTGGGAGGAGAGTTGGTGGGGACCAGAAATGATTGAGACAAGCTGGATAATTTATGTCAAGAATGTCCTGAGATTAGTAGGCTGAATTGAACTAATTTTCATTGAGGTGGTAAATATGTATGATGTATGCCAATTGGTGTACATTCAAAGTGACAATAAAGTTGTTGTTGTTGTTGTTGTTAGATATATCTGATTGTGCATTATAGTAAGGAGCTGGATGGCTTCCTTGGACCTGGGAGAGAGATGGCAGAATATGGGGGTGTTGGTTTGATGGGGAAAGGGCCCAGCAGTGGCATCTTGGTAGTGATGGGCAGAGGGACATATGACAAAAGATAAAGCAGTGGTATCTAGTACCAATTTTGCTTTTCAACTCTCTGAGCTGAATCTCAGTGCCTGGTTGTCAGATCCTCAGTGAGCCTACCTTAGCTGCCACTGTTTAAAGCCTAGTTAGCCTGTAATCATCATCTCCATGTTTGCTCCTAGCATAACAAGAAAGATTCAATTGGGTAATCATCTTCTTACAGGTTTTCCTGTTTTGTTACTTTTATAATCCATTGTTCCATCTACTATCGCATTAAAGTCTCCTATTAAACAAATATTTTGGTATTCCATTTCTATTAGTTTCCTGTGTAACCTTTGATAAAATTATTCTTGATTGTTATTTGGGGCATAGATTGCCACTAACAGTATTTGCTTTTGATGTAAATATATTTCAACCATTATGATTCTTCCTTCTTCATCTGAGTATACTAATTTAGAGTCTATTATCTCTTTAACATATACGGCAACCCCTCTTTTTTGTTGTTGTGCTGATGTATAATAAAGCTTCCCAATTTTTGAGTATTCCAGTAGCTTATAATGTTATATTTTTATGTGTGTCTCTTGCAGACAAATTATATCTGTATTTAATTTTTGGCGTTTCCTAAAAAAATTATTTATTTTTGATGGGGAGTTTAGTCCATTTACATTTACCGAAAAAATTCCATTTTTTTTCTCCATTTCCATTTCCATTATTTATATTTCAGTCTAGTCAATCTTGTAGTCCTTTGTTCTCTGGCAATTCCTTCCCCTTCACCCTTTTGCTCGTCTTTCTCGTTCTGATATTCTACTTGTGCCTTGGGCCGTCTCTCCCGTTTGCTTATCTCCTTGTTGTTGATACAGTCCTTCATCTAAAGTTGCTCTGTTTCTTACTTTGAAGTCCTCTGCTTTCCACATTGAGTCCAGTCGATATCTTGTATTGTTCCAGTTTATTAGAATGCCTTCTGTCATTAGCTATCTAAAATTTATGCCTTTGGCAATCAACTTTGTAGTTAGAAAATGGTAGTGTCTCTGAATATCCCTTACTCTCTTGGGTATCTGCTTTAGGACCACAATTTCTTTATTTTTGTATTGTAATGGTTCTTCTCTCACTTTTCTTAGTACTTCATCTCTTGTTGATTTCTTCATGAATCTCACGTGTACTTCTCTTGGTAGTTTATTTTTCCTTACGTAGCTTGAATTCATGCGGAATATCTGATCCGTCTCATTTTGTATATCTGCTCTATCTGCGTTTAAGAGTTCTGCCAATAACTCAATAATCACCATTTCTATATTTTCTTCACTATCTTCAGGAATATTTAGGAATCTCAAATAATGTTCTGCTTTTCCCATTTCTACCATTGCCATAGCTTGCTCTAGCTCTTGATTTGTTTGTTCTAATTCTTCATTTTTTTGCAATAACATTTCCACCTTTTTATCAATGTCCTCGGTTTTATTTTCCATTTCCTGGATTTTCTGTTCATTTTTGATAATCTTTTTATTTTGGGCTTCAAATTGTGTCTTTATATCCAGAATTTCTTCACTTACTTTCTCCAATTTGCTTTGTGTCTCTTCATGATTTTTCTGCATCATTTCTTGAATCAGTTTTAATGAGGCCTGCATTTCATCTTGGGCGGTATTTGCTTTTTCACATTGCAAAATTGTCCTAACAGAACTCTGAGTTGTTGGGCTAGATTGTCCAACAGAGGGCGCAGAAGAGGTTTTCTTTGCAAGACTGGTAATATTGGATGTGCTCATTTTGTGGCTCACAGTCTTAAACCAATATCCAAAATGTAAACAGGAGCTAACTGTTGCAAGGCAAGTTCACCTCCTCCAATCACGTCTTGAATCTAAAATGTTCTCTTTCTCCAGATAGTGTCTATTTAGTTTTTGCCAGCGTCAACAAGTATAACTATAAACAGTCTTTTCACTTGTAATCTCAAACCAAGGTGCTACTTTGTTCTCAGATTTTGGTCAAGGTCATTTGTAATGGAAACATTTCTTTTTCTTTTCTTGGTACTGTCATTTCTTTTTTCGCCACTAGATGTCCACCTCGGCTTATTTATCAGTCTCTGATACAATAGCTTCCCCCTTTTATGTTAACTGCCGCTTTTGAATAGTCTCTCTGGGGGTCTTTACTCTTTCAGCTTCTCCCCATCAGGGTCTCAACATTTTTGATCACAAGGAGAAGGAAAAGACTTCAGCTCACCCAGACTCAGCTCGTTGTTGAAGATCAGCAGTTTTGCATGGTTTCTGGCTGGAGACAACTTGGGCTGCCTCAGCTCTCCTGGCAGCCTTTCTTCTGCCCCTTTAGAGGGGGCTCCAGTTTGCTCAGATCGGTTGCCACCAGATCCAAGCTCCTGAAGTATCTCTCTTTCTTTGTTGCCCCACCAGGGCAACTTTCCATCCCTTTAAGAAGGACGCTGGGCAAAGTGAAACCAGACTGAGAAGCTGGAGTTCCAGCTTCTTGCGTCTGTCTCATTCTCTGCCAAACCGGAGACATTTTTTGTCATTTTTTGATATGGCAGAGGAAATTGGAATACAAGACGTTTGGAGAGAAATTAATCCACAAAACAGACAATACACTTTTTATTCAAATAGCCATAAATCCTGGTCAAGAATTGATATGATTTGGATGACTTCTGAATTGAGGATGGATATACAGGAGACTGAGATAGAAATAGGTACATGGGCAGACCATAATCCTCTGAAAGTGACATGGAAAGGAATACAAAAAAACCCCAAGATGGACTTTAAACCAATCCATACTAAAAGACAAAGAATTTATAGAGCTAGTAAAAAAAGAAATGGAATTCTTTTTTAAAGAAAATAAAGAAGAAGATACATCATTACAAAATCTATGGAATACAGCCAAAGTGTATTTTAGAGGCATAGCTATAATGTTTATGGCAAAGAAAAATAAACAGAGAAGACAGCAATATTCATTACTAAAGGCAAAATTTAGAAAGTTAGAGATAGAATTACAAGGAAACCCACAGAAAAAGACCTTGAAAAGAGAAATGGAAATAATAAAACATAAACTAAATTTGTTGGACTCAGAAAAATTGGCGGAACATATAAAGAGAGCAAAACAAAACTTTTTCAAAAATGCCAATAAACCAGGAAGATGGTTAACCTATAAGTTTAAAAAACAGAAAGAGAAGAAAATGATACATAACTTAGTAGATGGGAAAGGTTGTTTACAATTCAAAAATGAAGAAATAAAAAAGATAATTAAGGAATACTATAAGGAATTGTATGATAAAGAGGAGATTTCAAGAGAGAGAACTGCTCGATAGTTAGAAGAAAGTAAACTGCCAAAAATTCCAGAGACACTTAAAACTATGTTAAAAGAAAGAATAAGAATGATGGAGATATTAAAGGCTATAAAACAACAAAAAAATGGGAAAACACCGGGCCCAGATGAGCTCCCAGTGGAACTTTATAAAAATATATTAAGCGAACCACTGAAAGATGTTTGTAATGGACTATTGTTAGAGACTAAACTTCCAAACACATGGATAGAAGCAAATATTATTTTGATACCAAAAGAAGATTCAGACTTGACGTATATTAAGAACTACAGACCGATTTCATTACTTAATGTGGATTATAAAATTTTTACTTCAATAATGGCAGAGAGATTGAAAAAATACTTAGTTGAATTCATACATCCAGATCAAAATGGCTTCGTACCAAAGAAACAAATCAAAAACAATTTAAAGGTGATAATGAACGTATTAGAATACTATGAATTCCAGGGAAACAATTAGCATTAATATTTTTAGATGCTCAAAAGGCATTTGATAATGTTTCCTGGCAATTCACAATTAAGCAATTACAAATAATGGACTTAGGGAAGAACTTTACAGACATGATAAAAACAATATATAGCAATCAGATAGCAAAAGTGATTGTGAATGGAGACTATAGTGAGAGCTTTGAGATAAGAAAAGGCATGAGGCAAGGGTGTCCACTATCCCCATTATTATTTATCTTTACTTTGGAAGTTTTAAATAGAAGGATTAGACAGGACACAGAAATTAAAGGTTTGAAGATAAAAGACGAAACATATAAGTTGCAAGCATTTGCTGATGATCTAGTATTTATTTTGGAAGAACCTTTAGAGATGATCCCTAAGCTATGGGGAAAGATAGAAGAGTATGGAGAAATGGCGGGATTAAAAATAAATAAAGAAAAAATGAAGGTAACAGTTAAGAATCTCACAGATAAACAGAAAAGGCAAATGCTAGAGAAAACAGAGGTACAGATAGTGCAAAAAGTTAAATACTTAGGTATCCATCTTTCGGCCAAATGTTCATCAATAAAAGAAGATAATTATACAAAATTATTGAAACAAATAAAACTAGACTTGGAAAAATGGAAAAATCTGCAGTTGTCAATACTAGGAAGAATTGCTGCAGTAAAAATGAACGTACTGCTGAAGATTTTATTTTTATTTCAAACAATTCTGATAAAATTTGAGAATTTTTTTTTTCAAGATTTAAATTCATTAATTTTTAACTTTATCAGGCAGGGGAAGAAAGCTAGAATTAAGATGAAAACACTACAAGATGCTAAGGAAAATGGAGGATTCGGGCTGCCGGAATGGGCGTTGTATTATCAAGCATCTGTGTTAACTTGG